AAGCAGGACACTCAGGAATGAAGTAAATTTATTATTGATAACATGAAGGCGGTGGACAGAGTCCGGTGTCCAGTACGCAAAGCGGTGGTAGTAATCTGAGTTCGTGCTCACCCGAACTCCTTCGAAGTTATCGGCGAAAACAGCATCACACACTCAGCTACAGATTGCTGTATTGCAAGATAGCAACGTTATGAGCAGTTAATGGCCCCATATAACTCCCTTTCTCTGCAACTTTATTAACGAACGATCATGAATCACACGGTTCTTCCAGACTATTCTGGAGTAGAAGTTCAACAAGGCAACCGACTGGCAAATCTGGAGTATGCGAACGACATAGTTCTCCTTGGGTCTGATGCATTGGCTATGCAGACATTAATGCACAGACTGACGCGAGACGTTGCACGCTTCCGTGTGTGCTTTGAATCTTCAAAGTGTGATTGTTGCAGGACTGTGCCGGTTTTAGCTATTTCCGAACAACCACTGGAAGTGGTGGATCGGTTCATTTACCTTGGTAGCTTTATCACCCCTGGTGGTCACATTACTGAAGAGGTTACTTCGCGTATCAACAAAGCCTGTGTGGTTTTCCAGAGGTTCTATCATCTATGGAGACGGCAGAATATCAGCTTTTCAGTGAAAATTAGGGTATATAACGCTATGGTAAAACCGATTGTACTGTATGGATCAAAGACCTGACCAGTCGCACCGAAGCCACTAAACGATTGGCCGTGTTAAACCACCGGTGCCTGCGGAATATTACTCGTCTGGTTGGAACACCGGGTAAGCAATGCCAGTTTGTACCACACTGGAGTGTTTACTAAACCTTAGTCGCTTGCGTTGACTAGGCCATGTTCTCTGTATACCCGTTGATCAGCGTCCTTGACGTGCAACAAGTTGGGGGAAACCGCGAGGTAACCGTTCAATGACGTGGCGTAGGTGCATGAAGAAATTGACTGAGAGAGTTGGTCAGGCTGGTATGTGTCATCTTCCTGGATAGGACATCAGGACGGTCCACACTAATGATTAGAGACCGTGTCAGACATGACAGAGTCACGAAGTTAGTGGCGCCCTGCATTCGGTTTCTTGCACCTAGTTGTGAATTATCGTTCCAATTCTGACTAGTCTAACGCATTGCTTTCTTGCTTATATTTTCTCTACAATCTATTCGTACCCAAATCCACCGCCATACCGTAGTTACTTATTGTTATCATACAGTGTGAGTCGTGGCAACAGGATCCACCGCACTTCGGTGGTCGGATCATAGTTGTTCAACTGAGATGAACTGTTGTTTCCATCATAGACCCTATCATCATCATTACGCAGGTTAGCTGGAGGTGGAAAACACCTCAACTATTGTGCCGCAATGCATAAAAAAATGCAACAGAGGCACGTCGGCTGAGTTACCAGTGAAGGAGGGATATCGTTCCGGAGAGCTAACACCCGGTTATTGTGTCGCAAAAAGTTATATTATGCCTAGTAACTGAGATCGTGGTTGGAGAGGGAGGGACAAAGAAACTCAAAACACAAACGCCACTGAGGTCGGCTCCTTACCAAGTCAACAAGTGTATCCAGTCCAACATGTTCATTGTCTTCCGCACCCCAACCAGGGAGCCGGGGGGCTCCAATCGAGGCCAACTTCGAATGAAGAGCCTTCCTTCTTCGTCACCAAATCAGCACTTGGTCACACCTCTTCTTCCATCCACACCCCGGCGTGCAAACGACGCGGGCTGGCATACGCAAAACGTGTCCTAGCCATCGGAGCCTGATGCCTGACATAACGGTGCTGAGCGGTTCACTTCCACTTCCTGTGCCATAAACAAGACGCCGAACACGCTCTTCGCTCACACGGTGTACCCACCGGACATGAGCCAAATTGCGAAGCAACCGGTGTTCGAACGTAACTAGCCTCTTTATGTCTGCTGATCTTATGGATAAGGTTTCATAACCTTACAGCATAGAGTCATTGGAATATTAAGCATGATGACAGTGAGCTTAAGCGACACATCCATTGAGGTCTGGTCCAGGTAACCCATTGCTGTGTGCCATTTATTCGTGTATGGCGAATCCGAGAAGGAGGAGTAGTCCACCGTTCACACGGTGGCCCAAATGCGCTTTGCGTTCATATGGAACGAGATCCACCGGTGTGAGACACAACGAACGCTGCTGACTGAGGTGCCTGACGGGTAAATAATGAGGATGTAGCCGGATTATTCCCGAACAGCCATACAAACAAATTAGTAAAAATGGTAGAAAAGAGATGTAAAAGAACACTGTTTGGCAGTTGCACTAAATGCATGGTATCGAGCATCCTGATGACACAGGAATTAACGGCAATGTAGTTTGGTATTACATATGAGATAAAGCAGGCCGCTTTTCTTCCCCAAATGTCTACTACACGTATTAACAAGGGAGAACAAGCTTACCAACCGTTGGCATTACACAGTGGCGAGAAAAGTTACCTCAATGTTAATGTGAATAGCTTGGTGAGTCACTTAAAATCCGATTTTCTCCCATATTCCATGTTACTTTTACCTTTGGTTTCATAATCCAAAGTCTGGTCATCCCCTACGGGACTAGCCAAACAATCTCTAGTTTGCCCGTCAAAATCCGTTGTTCAAATCAGGAGATTTGGGGCCAAGTGAAAGTAAAGTTATACACCCAGCAACGCATCGACAGAGCCAACAAATCAAAAAGTCGTGACCGCCAGATGAGTTGAGACTTCCGGTTGTCAAAGAAGTAACAGGTATAACAAGAGAACAGCCAAACAGAATGGAAAGAGCAAAACGCGTGGATTTACGCTACAAACAACTCAACCTGGTGTAGTGAGTTTGGCTAACATTCGGACGAAAGCACCATGCCCATGAGGTCAGAGCGTTACGACTACCGCTGCCCACCAACCCGCTGCACTAGTGGTGCGTACGCGGGAGTTGGTCAGAATCAAATGACCTTAGCCTCTTGGATTTTTTAGATGAACTTGATGCAGATGGTGTGTTACTTTATTTTAATGAAGGGAGGCCGCCAATGAAGCCCATTTGAGCAACAAACTGGTAAACCAGGCTTGACTGATCCGAGCCAAAGAGCAAACATGCCCTGGGCTACATGTTACTGACGATATGGCACACGTCGCTGTGTATACGCATACATACATAGCAGGCAAGCAAGTGAAGTTATGTCCTTGTTGACATTCCGTAAAGCACTCACTGAAATTGTTGGATCCTAGATCCACCAAATGGCATTTTATAACCTAGAAACAAACAATAGAGGCTGCCGGGGTGAGGGAGTGTCCCGGCATCGCGAGGGCTGCACCAAAGAACAGACACACGATAGCTAGGTTTAACATGGTGAGTACAACATTCAGATGGTCGAGAAAGCAACATGTGGCTTTGCGGAAAACATACTGCAAATCGAGAGTTGGGGTACCAGTTGCTAATGTAGTACATGAGTGGACCGACTTGTTTATGATGGTTGGTCGGCCGGTGACCGAGTGATCTGCACGCATGGCTTGCAATCATAAGGTCACCAGTTCGAATCCGCGTAAGAGTGGGCGTCCTCGCGCTACATTCAGCCCGCGCGCGACTGGTGGTGGTCGCGCGACAGTGAAGTGCCGTTATGGCATACAGCTGACACATTATTAACTAGTTTATTATGGTTGAGTTGATCAGAGCCAAGCAATGAAACCAAAAGCATAGGCCGTACGTGGATGATGATGACGCTTCGCAACCGTGCGCGCTAGGGATACTGCTACGTCACCAATACTTACGTAGATTGGAATCGGTGAACTTTGGTTTACAAGGCAAAGGCCTCTGCAATCGGCCGCAGACTACCATGGGGTCAGCAAAGCCAGGGTTAATCGCACACTTCCACTTGACAAGTGGTTCGGCCCGTTGGTTAATTGATTTCAATTCGTACGTAGTCGATCTAGTTTAATTTACGATAATGTAGCAAAAAAAAACAGCGTGATTTCTAACTCGTGGCTCGGATAACCTGCAGGGAACTGATAGTGTTGCTCAAGCACTCAGTATTCACTGGGACCCACGATGGGACGTCGTGCTAGAAATGAGCGTGAGAGGGATAGCCATGTATGTATGAGGCAAGGGTCGGGTTAAATATATTCCCCATTTCGTCAGATGGCGAGTTTCAATGTGGGTAAGACAGAGACAAGAGCGCCAATCGTAGTCAACTTCACAATGGACAGTTGGAAGGCACACTGTCAAGATTATTGAAAAAATAAAATGGTCGTCCAATGGAATAAATATGATGGAGTAGCGTCTGGCCCGATTGAGAGGTTGTGAGTTCAGAGGTTTGAGGGCAATTACCCGTTCAGTGCTTTCCGGGTGTAACAGCGACGAATATAATTCACAACTTAGTCCAAATCCCTCCTTTCAATACGCTTTAAATCATACTCGATCAACACACTAGAAAGGCTGTAGTAGGCGGTGGATCAAACTCCGACAAAGCTTCGACCAAGTTGAGCGAAATCGCGAGGTAGTCAGTCCATGACGTCGCATAAAAGCTTGAAAAAATTGACTGAGACTTGGTCAGGTTGGTACATGCTGTCTACGTGGATGGGGGCCTCCAGGATGATCCACACCAGTGACTGGAGACCTTTTCAGATATGGCGCAGTTAGTGGCGTTCCTGTATTCAGTTTATTGCGTCTAGCGTTTCAGAACTGAAACTCAAGAATGCGCTTTTACGCACCTATGACGGGTGAATTTCAACCGTTAATTTCCATTCAATTTTCTTTAGTTTAACGCATCTTCTTGATTCCATATTCTCTACATTCCATTTGCATTCGACCTCATTTGCTTGCCGTTGTCAGTCATTATTGGTATTCTGGCGATGTGAGTCGTGGCACCTGAACTGAAGATAAAGATATATCATAGCACTTTAGAAGGAACAAACCGCCCACTTCTTTGGAAAAATTACTTGCCTTCACTCTTTCTCCCATCACAGTCACACGAGTTGTGCTAACTGTGTTGCCTCTCTATTTCACTTCCATCAGGTTAAAAATCAAGGAGTGATGAAAGTTTGCCAGCTAACGGACCGGATCGAATCGCTAGAACAGGAAGTGGAAAAATATCGCATCCTTGCAGGTATTGAGCATTTGACCAAATCACCGATGCTTGACGAACCGAGTACACATCCCCGCTCAAGCAAGACTCGAGGACCGATGCTGAGCGCACAAACGCAACCAGAAAACACGACAGTTGAGGAAAAGAAACGATCTCCATTAGAGACGAAAAAGTCACGGTTGCCCCGTGTAGGATTCAGTGTTCCAGAGACCATCGAGCTGAGTCCGAAACAATCTACTTCCACTAGGCCAAGAGCAAGTAGCGAAGTGAGCATGACAACCAGTTCCAGTGCGGATGTTATGGGAAAGTGGAGCGGCATAGTCTCATCCAACACTCAACGGGAACAATCACGCCCATCGATGAAATACGTTGCAGACGTGCCGGCCGACGAACTGCCAAGGACCAAAGGATTCCTTCGGAGATTAAGGCAGATGAGCAGCGTTGGTACAGATTCCGGAATCAGCGGTTCGAGGAGTAGTGCGGCGTACAGTGGTACCAGCTCGCAGGACACAACACAACAATCCGCCTCTTCAGTCGAATTTGAAGAAATCATAGGAGTTGAAGAGTGAGTAGGCCGACAAATGGCTCCAAGAGTGGTGTGAGGTATACATGCTAAATTTCGAAATACATCCTTACCAAAGAAAGCAAATCAAAGCACGGACCAGATAGTGGATTCACGAGAGTTGGGATTTGGAGCACAGACAGGGCTAAATTGTCGCAGAGCTATAAGTATTGTTTCGTGAAAAAATACCACGTTTTGCGGAAAGTGGTCGTTACACTGGATTTTTTGTGATTGCTATGAGGGAACGTTGGGGTAAGTGTCGATTAGCTGTATTAGTTGAATAGTAAAAAAGGACATCTCAGAATTCCTATGAAGAAATTGGTGCCAGAGGTCAAACTAAGTGAGGCTGGAAACGCCAGAAAATCGATGAAGGGTGTTAGTTAGTGGTCAAACGGCATAAATGATGTGGACCACTTTCTACTTGTCCGCAACTGCGTGCTGCAAGAAGGTGGCCTGTCGGGATAGCTGACGACGGGACACGATTCATGTCAAACCAGACGCCTACCAAATGCAATGGACTCTCGTTATTACGTCACCGCCGGTTTGCGAACACAGCTGATGTTCACTAAGCTCGCAAAAGGCGGGATACGAGTTTACCACACAACGGATGTAAGTAGCTCACAACGCGCGAGAAAACTGACCGCATGGGATCACTCAAATGAGGCTGCGGTGTAGTTGCAATTCATCTCATCAAGTTAATTGTGACAGCCTGCATGAGATAGATAAAAAAGACTCCAGGCAATCGAGTAGCAGAGTAATTTATATTGAAAATTGACTTCGCAGAGCACCAAGAATTGCCACTGATAGTTGAATTGTTTTCTCCGGGAAAGAACAGAGATAACAGTTAGCAGTCCGGGGGAATATAAAGGAACAGTCAGGTTGGCATGGCGGAACGAAAGATGACGTGATGTTGGAATGAGCACAACCTAGTTTTAAACGAAACGAAAAGATTACTATTCAGATTTGCCCACATTATCATGCGGTTGTCACTGTGTACCTATACTTCGACCCCTTCCTCACACAATGCTTCCACACTGCAGTTTAGTTTCATTAGAGTTTTGACTTGAAGCACACAGAGGTACTTATCCAACAGTTCTCCAAAAGATTGTTTGGACTCACAATCGCAATTCAGTAGGTAGCCCGTTCCATATCTGCGAGTATCTTGTTAGGTAAAATTTCCTGTTATGTTTGTTTTAGTTCTACTGGTAGGAAGCGAATTCCTCATGTCATACCTTCCATCCTGATGGAAATGTATGTTACTGTGTGAGGCAAATACGCGTTTGTGAAGTATGCCGAACAATTTGGACAGTAAATACATTACAATACCTTACAATGGGATTCCGAAAGCAGAGATTTTTACAGCACCATCCATATATGGTTGGCGGCATCTGATGCCAGATTTGCATGTCACTGTGGCCACCCAAAGGACGCCTGCGCCTACAGAGGGACCATGGATGGCTTACGCTGCACCACCCACAGCTCCATCCACACACCCCATATCCAGTGTAAACCCGAAGGAATAAGACCGGGAGACATGCGGATGGGAGCCACGTTTCATCAACGAAGCTGGCCCACATTCCTTCACAGGCAAACACAAGCACGCGGTATTTGGGAAATCAAGTGCACCCAAAGCGGTGGATGGACCGTAGTCCGCTCCACACTGAGTGCATGGAACCACTCTTCGAACCTACCACGGCCACGAGGACCGTGCACCCCATCCCCTCCAGCGACGACCAACTGTCTCCTGGAATGGCCGAGGTAGTGGGTAATAGACAGGTAGGCACCTTGTCAATATGCACATCAAGAGTAGCCACACCGAGTATGTCGAGCAATAGCCAATCACTTGAGAAGACAATATCAGATAAAATAAACTGGAAAAAGTATACGGATATGCCGACTTAATTATTTAATAAATTAGCATATGAAACAAGGATGTAATCAATGTATCCGCGATGAACTGAAGACGGCAGCTAGACCAGAAAACATGTGCAATAAACGATATATATATATATATATATATATATATATATATATATATATATATGATGGGTCTCGTACACAGGTTTAGGTTACATAGTTAATGATCCTTCACCGCATTTGCGCTAGAGTGAGATGTTTGTTTCGCATTATCCTAGATCTGACATCATCCAGCTTCTTTTATTTGTTCAATTCTACATAATTCCCGTTCATTTTGCGCGTTGTTATTTCTGTCATTTTCTGTGTTCGTCGGTAGATATCCTCAAAATTGCACTTTTACTTTCCCTAAATCACCCATATACCACCAGGTCACAAGTATATGTTTTTGAGTTACCCAGCAGCCCTTTAGTATCCAGTTTGTGTTTATTTTCTTTCATATGTTTGATTCTCGATATCCCCAGTGTGGCTGCGCTTGATGTGTATGTTGACAACGTGCCTATCTGTCGAAAAACCGGTACTGGCTTCAGGAGACTGTGAACCGTTGCTGGAGAGAGAAACGGGGGTGCCTGGTCCTCGGAACTATGCCAGGCTCAATAATTGGTTCCATGCATCCAGTGTGGAACGGGCTACGGCCAAACCACCGCCTTATGTACGTCCGGTACTTGTGAGTCTCACAAATTAGACAGGAATGCTACTGATGTGCATGTTGAAAATGAGGGCCGACTTCATTGATGAAACGTGGCTCTCACCCACATGTCTCCCGGCTTTATTTCTTCAGGTTTACGTTGGACATATGGTGTGTGTATGGAGTTGTGGGTGGTGCAGCGCAAGTCCCTAATGGTCCCTCTGTAGGCGCAGACGTCCCATGGCTGTGGTGTGGAGGTCGCAGGGACAGGCAAAACCGGAACCGAACGCCGCCAGACGTATATCAGTCTACGAATAGACATGAAGATCAAAAACCATGAAAAATGATGGAATCTATGGTTGTACTAAAAAGAAAACCGTGTGCAACAGAGCAAACCATGATTTGGTCAGAGAACGCGATAGTACCCGGTTGCCCATGCCGAAGCAGGAAGTTACCTTCGGCTAAGTAGCTCACCCGCGAAGCAGTGGGGGTTGTGGCAATAGAATCGTATGGATTCAATTCACGGCCGATAGGAAACGCTCAAGAACCAACGAGTGCAGTAATGTGTAACGAATCCGGACGTAGCGAGGTTACTAATGGCTGTATTTTCAGTTCAGTCCAAACAACTAGGAGCTGGGCAACAAATTGCAGTAGGTCCTGTTGCCACAACTCGCGTCGCTAGAATAACAACAAACAAGGACGGCGGAAAATGGAAGTTCAGCAGGAGCATAATCTGAGCAAAACGTAGTTAACAAAGAAATGCGTAGAACTAATCGGGATGGAATGAACTACTGGATGCAAGAAGTCGAATGCAGAAGCGCCACTAACTGCGAGGCTGAGGCATGCCCGATAGGGTCTCCAATCACTGCTATGGTCCATCCGGAGGACGCCATGCACTAAGACGGCACCAGCCTAAGTCTCTCAGTCAATTTCTTCATGCCCATATGCCACGTCATCGAGCAGCCAGCTCACCGTTGCGCCAAACCTGGTGCGGCGAAAGCATGTAATGCGTGTCGAGAAAGGCATTCAACGAACATACGCAGAACCTGACTGAGCCAACACAAGCGGTTAAGCTCTAGCAAAAAATCCAATGTTCCCATCAGACGTGAGCAACACCCCACAAGCAGCAGTGATCAAACACGACCAAGTGCCTTCGCCGCGGATTGGCTAGGTCTCTGATCCATACAGTAAGACTGACCTTACCACAGCGTTGTATTCCTAACGCTGACATCCCGCCGTCTCCATAGATGGTAGAACCTCTGGAAAGCCACGCGGGCCTTGCTGATACGGGAAGTAACTGCTTAAATGATGTGACGCAGCTACCAAGGTAAGTAAACCGATATACCACTTCCAGTGGTTGTTCGGTGATATATAGAACCGGAGGTGTGTCAGTCCAGTCCTGAAGCAGTACTATGCACTGTGGAAATTCAAAGCACATGCATAGGCGTGCAGCAATACGTGTCAGTCTATTCAGTAGTGCTCGCACCACCAACGCGTCAGATCCAAGAAGAGCTGCGTTGCCCGCATATGCAGGTCTTGTCAATCGGTCACCTAGCAAAATGCGCTCCGGAAATGTATGAAAAAGGTCACCCATGATCATTTCGATACATATAGAACAGCTCTGTCAAACCACACTTGTCGTGGGGAACTCAGGAGACAGTTTCCTGTAGACTATTGCAAATAGGCTCACCAAATGCACCTTCCACTGGCCAATTCCATTGTTTTTAATTTTTTAATCATCAAACACGAATGATTGGCTATAGACTTGCATGGAGCGCCTAACGTTCTCGTCATACTGCACCACACTGTATGGGTACGTTAAAGGGAGTAACCGCACAATTATTGTTATTTCTCTTTGAGCAGCAGAGCACCGCAAATATCTACTGTTCCCTTTTTACCTAGTGGGGATAGTTAGGTACGGTCTGATCACAAAAAAGTAAGGTATGTGCACTTAATCGTTGATTCACAGCCTTAGAGGCAAGTCTGCGTTCTCTATGTCGACCGGTTGATGCAAGGTGTTTGCCCCGCAATCCAAAAGTCATCGATTCGTGTCTACGTTGGTCACGGACGGCCGCACAGTGTCACTAGCCCGCGAGGGACTGATGGTGGTCGATTGACGAGGCATCAGCACTGTGTAACGCCGTGACGTTGACGTCTACTCTATGGTAGCCCAAGAATTGCGTGCCCACACGAAACTAAGGAGCAAGCACTGAAATCGGACCAAAATCTTTCGGTAGTAAAGTACCTATTGCGTGGCGAGACGGGTTCCAACCAAGGGGAAACACACACAGACAGAACAAAGGGCTCATTTCGCCCCAGTCTCATTTGGCAACGCACTACCATTAACTCGTCACACAGGTAAGCCGACTTAGAGACCCCAACCAGCAATCACTCACTCAACTGTAATCCCAGTAATATAAAGCTGCAAATGGAACATATCGGGAAGAAAATAGTCACCCACAAAACAGTATGCACGTAGTGATTTATGCTAAAGATTCCTTACGTAAATGAGAAGCAAATTAGCTAGTATCATGGTTATTGTGGAACTCGGTAAAAGTTATGAGGCAGACCATCAAACAATCGACGAGTCCGGGATTACTTCGAATTCTTCTCTAATCTACAGCACTCAGCCAGAAAATGGTAGGACTCGGAACCAAATGGAGCAACCAAACGACAGCAACTCGACTAAAGGCGTGGGAACGAAACATACGACAAGATCCGTAACGAGTGCTGCTGCAGCAGCATCGGATCACGCGGCGAAAACCAAGCCTCCATCTGTCACAAGAACAACGTCGAACAACGAACAGCAGGTAAGACGAAATTTTAGTATCGAACGTTTCCAAGATTCTAAGTGAGTACATGAATAAAACGTGATATCAGATGCAATCAGAACCTCGAGTTAACCGACGATGAACAGTCAAGCGAAACTAAGAATGAATGGTTTGATTTTTGTACTACTTACAAGTAGACACACATTTTTGGAAAAACGTTTGATATGCGCAACGAATTAGTGAAATTATGTGGAGCTGGAAGGATCCTTAAGCGTCGTAAGAAGTACGGTGAGCTGCCGCCATAAGCCGAGTTCAACAAAATAAGAGAAGTGGTGACAGCCATGTCAACTGCATTCGTTGATACGGGTCAGAGGATACCGTGCGTTGCAACCGCAGAGCAGGATCAAGCCCAAGTACGTGACTCGGAACAGAGCAATCAGGGCGTTTCGACGAACTTCGGTAGGGACGACAGTGTGTCCACTTCAACGAATAGTTGCCCCGATGGGTGAACGCACATAACTGATAGAGGTTTTGTCGCATATCCGGCACAAGGGTGACTGGGGTTAGGAGGAGCTTACGCATGAAATTCGTGTGAAACGTTGCTTCGAGAACAACACAGGGAAACACGTCATGGGTGCGCCAAGGTCACTGATCGACTCTAGATCCTGTGTACCAAATACACGACATTAAGTGTTTATTCAGAACGAACAGAAGATCTGTCCTGAACATGTTTGACGAAAGTGCACGGATTCGGATGTGACCAGTCCACTCAGTGTCACGGACGCTGGCAGAAAGAACCAAAGGCGGGATTGTGGGTGCTTAGAATACGTACAGAGAATATGATGGCGTCACGCAATTTGTAGTCTGAACCGGTAAACCTAAACGAGAGACAGTTAATTCCCCAGATGAAAAACAACTGTCTATAAATCACCGTGCAGTGTCATTTATACCCTCCTGTTAAGTGCAGAGTAAAACTCACCCCGACTTGTCCAATTGTTTCAGGATTTTGTCCAGAGAGCGCTCAAGCAGTCTCAAAGAGTCTTCTCAATGAAGAAAAGCGCCTGAAATCGGTAATCGCAAAAACCCCATCCAAGCAGTCACATCGGAGAAACCCCCTTGTATCTTATTGCCTTTCCGTCCCCTCCCCCCATTTTGCAAACTGTAGTAAAATCCGCAGTCCGCCCTCTGCATCTGTACATGTTTACTGACAAGCACACACACTTCAGTCCCCTTTGACCAAATATACAAAACACTTGTCACCGGGAAAGTTGCTCGGCAAAATAGATCCTTGGCCATTTTCTTTGCAGCTACAGTAAATAACATCAGATGAGGAGGATTAAGGCATGATTGGGGTTACAGTTGGCATCCTGGATTAGGAATCGAGTAACGAAGACCGTCTAGTAAGCCATGGAGACAGAGCTCAGCATAGCGGTCAGGTCTATGTGCAAGTGTGTAAAGTGAGAATTGGCAAGCGCGCAAAACCAGTGGTCCTCGTTGCCGCTGAATAGCCTGGTCGGCAGTTGTGTAGTAGTGGGCATCAATTGCAGTAGTAGACATGGAGGCGAAACTGCAGTTCCTTGCAATAGCTTCGTAAATAAGCAAAAAAAATCGACGCGACAAATGACGTCGGAAACAACGTGCATCCTTGTATGCTTTATGATGGCGCTAGAGTTCAAGCCTCTTCGACACTTAGGCAACCTTGAGGCTCTTGGTTTTGTCGGTTAGTTTTAGTAGCGTCCACGAGTACAACTGAAGGAACGGACAGTGGGGATATCCACGCATGATGGAGTGGGCAATTCACACTGTTCAGCTTTTTGGGAACAAGTGTGAAACCAAACGTGGTGTTCTGGGGAATGATTTCACATTAGCAACATAGATGACCCAAGAACATCCAAGCGACACCTCTACTTGCTTCCAGATAAACCAAATCGGCTTTACTCTAGTGGTTAATGCGACCGTCTTGCACCACGAAGGTCCAGGTGATGAACTACAAATACGGTTAGCGTCTCAGTATATCTACAGCGTGTGTGATATTTCGTTGGCTGTTCCGTTGAACCGATCACTAGCATATGGCTTTAGAGGAGATCGGAAAGTTCGTGGAAATTAGGTTAATTTCAAAACTCGAATCGTATACAATATCGAAGACCGGATCCCGTTAAGATGGTAGATAAATAACGTAACGGGCTCAGTTGGATACTGGGAAAACTCTCTCGGACCATAAAGATTGCCAGCTGATACGCGCGTCTGCATAAACAAGCTTGCTGAGTTGGGTAGTGAATTGCAGAACCGCCAATGTAAAGGGGAGGTTAGGGATAGGTACGAACTTAGGCTCTCCAAGACTTTCGGGCGAAGGCCTGACAAGTAGAAACAAGAACGATTACTCCAACATGTTAGACGCGCTTAGAACTAAGCGATGCAGTGTTGAAGACCGCTTATGTGTTCCATAGTGTTGAGGGGAACAATTCGGTGATGCTATGAAGCCTCCGGATGCCTCATCCTACTAGTGCGAAACGTTACACAGGATGCGAAAAGACAACGCAATGTATTATGAAGGTGTTGGTTTAACCGGAAATAGCGGTTGACGAAAGGCACGACATGGGGTGATACGGTGCCAGAGAAATTTTGAAGACACCTTGAACCAGTGTGCGGTTGACGGAAAACTGGACACAGGTATGGGTTTACTGATACAAGCGTGGTGGGTGAAGGCCAATTAGACAGTATGGCACACAATCACTAATTTTGCAAAATGAGATTGAAAAGCACGATATACCAGTGACAAGCTCCTGGAGATGAACCGGATGTGATAAAATTGCACTGCATCCTAAAGGAGTGAAGCCTGTTCCCTAGATAGCGACAGATACGCCGAGACGAGAAGAGTGCGACCTCCCACAGATGCACATACAATTCAAATTGCCCCAGACGAAATCAGTTCAGTGAACACTAAGCAAAGTGCCAAGCACGGAGATGGATAAACGGGAATGATAATAGTATTATTATTGGCAGAAGTAGTAATAATAGTATTAATGATAGGAAAGATCATCAGATGGAAGACAAATCGGGGTCATGGAACGGTCACCAACCGTGAACACGGTTTGTGCACGAGGGAGACTTAAAATAGCTGGTGATTTGCACAGGTAAATGTTGGACCCCAGACCTTTCTGGGCTTAAAGGCACAGAGTGCGTTAACCGGACTACACTGAGGGAACTACATGTCTCCAACGCACAGACAAACTGACATAAGAGGCACAGTAGAAAATCTTACGTCCTTTCGAGTTGGAAAATACAAGTTGAACTTTACATTGTAGGCGATGGATGAACGGACACAGCGGCAGAAAAAGAATAGGTGCGTGATGTACACAATCACAACTAATAGAGTCTAAGTGTCCAACCAATGTGAGGATGGTAGACACAGATAAAAAGCGAAAGATAGGTGGATGTTGACAGTACGAGAAGGGATGACTTAGCGGACAGTCAACCTCGGGCGCGCCAGTCGAAATCAATGGCTAACACAGGGCTTACAAGGCGTAGTAATTGGCGGTTACACAAGTAGAGCTGGAAAATGTACGAACGCGGTAACGGAGTCTCATTGACCAGATGTTACGGCCACGGAAAAAGGAGCACAGGGGGGGGGGCAAACACAGACTGTGATCGAGGTGAGGAACGAACAGGAAATAGGATTCAAACACACACATTCAACCGAAAACAATCCCAGCTAAAACGGGTTATGTGGACTGATTGGGGGGGTGAGATTACGAGCGATGTTGTGCAGCATGTGACTTGAAGTGGAGGAAGTTGTTCCCGAAGTAATCAGACGGCAGGACAAAATGTGTGCGCTTAGGCTTGCGTGGGTTGTCTCACACTTGTGGCTCCTGTGTGCTTCAGAGCACTGCCGCTGGATGCAGACACAGAACTCCCATTTTGCAATGTTTGTCGAGTTCTCGGAGGGCGGTTGTATCTAACCGGGCGTTCGGTTTGGTTTGAGTATTCATATCTGGAATTAAAAAGCATAGTAGAGCAGTGGAATATAGAAAACAAGATAGCATTTTTCATATACAACCATATTAGTAGCGATGGTGTGGTAGCAACAGTTCGCGGCACCGACGCTTCACTACCGCGCAACCACCACCGGTCGTATGTGGGTTAAGTATACGGCGAGGGTCGTCCTGCCCCCGCGACGTCAGATTGAAAGACAAGCTCGCTAGCTTTAGGCTACGGGCCGGCGATGGTGTAGTGGGAAGTGAAACAGAATGCTGACTCATGTGACACTGGTTTCATCCTGAAAGTAAGCAATTCACTGGGTTTACATGATTACAAATGAAAGCTGAGTTTACAGTTTAACGCATATGCGAACAGTCGATGGTCGGAGCGTTAATGAGAAGGGGATGACGTATATCAAATGAAACACTGCTAGAGTTTGCAAGCTGCAATGAGTGCAAGATTTGTGACTAGGCGACTCCAAAAAACTCTAATAAGGAATTAGTTAAAAGGTGAGAATCGGCTACAGTGATGGCAACGGTGGCAATGACGACGAGGATGATGATGCTGGCAAGTACAAGGATGCAAAAAAGGACAAAACCAGACGAGAATATATCATATGAAAGCGACAATTGAATGAGCCCGGGATACGAGGGAGAACGCTAGTATAAAAATAAATAGTGAAAAGGTGTTGAACGGTTGAGTGATTTCACTGTTTAATAGGGAGAGGCGTATGCTCGAAAACTGCATAATTCCGAAGCGCGCAAACCTGTTGCAGTTAGATCGATCGGAGTCCCTGAGACGAGAGTTATCGTTTGAGTTGTGGCCGGCGGATTCATCACCACCTGGTAAATTGTCCTCATCGGTAGTTTCGCCAATATCCCGTTTGATAGGCTGATTGTCTCGGCCGTAAGAGGCAATGCCATCATGCTCATCCGAATCAATATCATGGCTTAGGTTAGAGCCCATGGCGTCAGAGTCGTCCGATCCTCGCCGACGATCAGCAACGTCACCATTGGTACCAGTACGATCATTCCACTCAGTGTGTCCGCGTGGAGCACCGATGCCACGGCGCATTCTGCCTCCACGCGCACGACCAATACGTGACTCGCCATTGTAACCCCGGGTGCTGCGAGGATCCCTAGGCTAAACAAGGGAAGGAACAAGTGGCTATTATCGGATTAACTACAAAAAGGTGTAGACCGGGAGACCTGTGATGCCCCGTGACTCATTAAACAAATTGTACGATACGCACATACCAATGTGGAGTGAGTGTTGAAAGTGAATTTGGAGAGCAAAAATTAATCAATCCAGGCTAGCAATGAAACGCAGATGCAGAACGCACCTGTTCACACAATAGCTATAAATGGTGCGCCGCAAACCAACGAGAACAGATGAACTAGTCGATAAGTGAAGAACGAGAAACCGATATGTTGGACTTATGATACCTGGATGGTAACGTGATGCAACAGGCTCAATGCAATTGTCAGACAGTTGATGAAGGAGAGCAATGAGAAGATAACAGGACATTATACATGCACGTTCGATGAATAAGACGAGAGGAATCTTTAAGCTAAACTGTTCACAAGCCTAGCAGTCGTAGTTTGGGGCTTACATACGGCTGAACAATCACATACACCACGGTATCGAGAATAAAAATGACAAAAAGGGTCAGCAGGTCCCAACCGCAACATTATGGAGTAGGAGTGGCTTGAGTAGATTTGGGACGAAAGGATGGTATACATGGAAATAAGAGGACCCAGAAAAGAAGAAGGACACGGCAAACGCTGTTGTGGATGCGCAAAGGTGACTGAGAATATCTAAATCGCGCGAAAAATCCGTGGACTAGTGAAGTGGCAGCAATCTGTTTCGCAACACGACTGTTAAAAAGTGTGAGATGGGGCAGCGTGTCAGATAAGTGAAACAGCAAATATGCCTCCAAGGCGTACCAATATAACTATGTACGAATACGTATGCACTGGGAAAAACTGCAGTTGGTAGCGAGGTAAAGATCTTAACTGGGCCTTAAGAGGAATATCAGTGATTTAGTGGGGATTTCTGAATGCGAGTACGATACTGGCTGTATAGAACATCGACAGGTTACATCAATCAATGCGGTGAGCTTACCGGCCTTCTACTATTACCAAAAGGTGCAGGGCCATCGTCAGCGTATTGTTCTGAAGGACGTGGTCCATCAACAAATCCGTTGTCAAAATTTCCTGCAGGATAATTGCGACGTGGAGGGCGCCGGATACCACGACCTGCACCTGCACCTCCACTACCAATACCGCGTATGCCTGCGCCGCCTCGATCGCCAAAACGTCCGGGACCATCCAGGTAGCCTCGAGGAGCATAACCACCGCCCAATTCAGTATTGGTGTACGATAAGTTGCTCATAATTGCGTTCTTTTCGGCCTGAGGTTTGCGGGTGGGAGCAGATGAGCGAACGTGCGAAAAAAGAGCGAGATAATTGTGAAGTTTGCTCCATAGGTGTAATAAAACAGATGCTATACTTTGGTTCACAATGGAGCAATTTTGAATGTGAATGAGATGGGTGAATGCGATCCGGGAGAGTGGCCGAAAAGTTCCGATGACAGCGAGACAAATGAGGTAGCAAAAAATGGTAATACAGAGAATTTAAGCAAAGGCGGCAATTCGAAAACCACGCCTTAAGTAAATAATCTAATGAGTGTAATTAGTGCGAAGCATCGTACATAATGCGTGTGAATCAGAGTGAATGTCTGGCCACACGATTGCTGCGAACGAACGGTAAGTGGTCACTCAATGACCTGCCAGATTATGAGAATAGTCTAAGGGCAGGAACGACTGCAAAACAAAAACGCCATACCATCTAGTAAAAAGGACATCAATGAACAGTATTGGGTTTATGTCGGCGGGAATAAGATCGAAAGGGTGTGCTGCATTGAATGTTCAAACATAACAAATCAAAGAGCAAATCCAGGAGTGAGGAGTCAGCGCAATCAGGGCACACAAATGCGAAGACTGACAGTCCAAAGTGAGTAGGAGACAAAAGAGGTCTAAAAACCTAGCAGGTTGTTATGTCACTACATACTGCCACACCGTAAGACGGATAATAGACGGCGTGAAGGACGGCACGAAGTGTGTACACTCAGGTAGTCCTCAAATGTCAAGTCAATAGCTCGCGAATCGATGCCAAAATAACACTTTGGTGTCGGACCAGATTCTTTTGCACCTGCGCGTTAAAGACACGGAAGTGAAATACTTGGAAAGCATTAAACCATCTGTTTGAACAGGTATGGAAGGAATGGGGCATTCTAAGCAATCAAGGTGAATCAACCGTGCCAATAATGTACAGGAAATGCTGTCGCAGCTTCTGCGCTGCCCCACTACGGAAACAAAAATACAGAACGGACCTGCATAGACAAGTTTCACTCTGCTTTAAGTGCCAGAGAACAGGAGAATGCGCATCGTTTATCGATTATGGCTGTGCTTCTCCATATTAGGAGGGCGTTATGCTCACCTGATATTTTCGTTTTGTTTGAAATAGTTGGTGTTCCCATGACATATGTGAACATATTGCTTGCCTTGTACTCAAATAACACAGGTAAAGTTAGAGTCTACGGTGAATTGCTGGAAGCTTTTACAAAATGTGTCGTCCTCCAAAGATGTCCTAACTTCTCAACATCATCGTGATCGTCCTAATAAAAAACAATACATCGGCCATTTGAACCGCGCATTTACTATCGTACGAATACAATGAGCAAATGGAAAAAGAACACGGAAGAAGAGAGAAATGAGAACTGTCGTAAAACCTTAATGTCCTAAGCAAACTTTCAGGGCCAAGGTGTTTACAACATTTCGACAACTCATCCTCATAAACAGCCAGCTATCGTGTAAAAATAAGGCGACATCGACAAGACGGTTTTTTGCGGCTTTCACTATCCAGTGTCATAATCAACCGACTGCGAGCCACTTCATGGAACGTACAAAGACTAGCGGTTACCTGGTATACGTAGTATGTATCCAACCCAACGTAACACATTCAGTTACTTATTGTCCCAAGAAACTAACCTATTTATCGGCATCTAGTAGTCTCCGAAGCACGTCATCGTTGCGGATACGCTGCTGCCATCTAATACGAGAAACGCCTCGCACGCAGTTGTGGTTAAAAACTTGAAGCCGTCTTAGATCTTCGGACCGAAGGAACCAAATCTCACTATCATATAGCTGAATGCCCTCACTGTAATCTTGTACAAACGGCGTTTCAGATCGAGAGGAACCTCGTTCTAACTCTAGCTTTGAAATGCGTGACATCAGCGTTTACGCGCCCGTCGCTGTTGATGCAGCTGCCAAGTGAACCGATCAATCGATCAGTCGGCCGGTGGCCGAGTGGTATGGCAAAAAGTGGGATCAATCTATAGAGGTTATTCAGGACTGATTTGGTCGTTGCAAGACAATATCGTCCGAATAATTCAGGCCAAATAATTTTTACTAAACAACACCTCATCGCCTGCAAGAGAACACCCCATGATGGAATACACGATATTGGGATAAAATGGGATAATTATACAAACCTGACGAATGCCAGGTGTAGTCGGAAAGATATCCGACAATTCATCATAGACTCTGATGCGGCCCATAGTGTTCGAGTACAGGGCACAATGCCGACATATTTCACGGGAACAATTTTTCCGAACAAAAGGGTCGAGCAGAATCGACCGATCGATTGAGTCGAACTCTTTAGATTGAGAAATACATATTTGACCGCCAGCGATACGTGTGACGCTGCTCTAGCACCCGCCACAGTGAATATGTGATCTATAATGTCCCGTCCTGCATGGAAACACTTGTTCTTTCCTAACCCGGAAATTTCTTCCTCAGTGAAGAAACTAAAGAGAATTAAGGCTAGTAAATTTGTCACCAACGGCGTTAGACTTATACCACTGTGGCTAGCACAGTTGATGCGACTGCCTTTCGTACATATAGCAACTATAATTTAACCACTCTACTCAGCGAGGATAGTCTCTTCCTTCCATACCTGTTCAAACAGGTGGGTTCAAAATGACCCTACAATTAGTCCTCTACCGTCGTGACTCGGTGGCTAAAGGAGTCGAGGTGCCAAGTAATATTCCAATGATTCTGAGTTCGGGGCCTGCTATTCCCACCTGATGAGGTCACATAAGGTCGGAACGCGTCGTGGAGTGCAGTGTTTTCGGGCCCGTAACACACAATTTCCTTCTGCTTAATCAACTACGGTCCTAGTAATCGAATTGACCAAGAATCACTTCAATGTGAATCACGGTGTACATTGGGATTGCGCGTCGTAATCCAACCACACAAAGTGTACTACAAAATGATCCTCCAATCAGTTGGGCTAGCGCTTTGCAGAGAACCTCACCAACATCATGAGTAGTGCGGGTGCGACGGAATCCAACCAACGAAAACGATTAAGGGTAGTTATGGTATCTCGGAGCAAAGCTTCCGACTGGACCTATAAACTAACTGGCCATGGTTCAGCCGGCATCATCTGAATAGAAAATAGTCCGGGAACAAAGGGCCAACTGTAAAGTTCACGAAAGTGCCACTCCAAACGAGCCAGGCGGCGCTCCTTATTGTGATTTAGAGTACGAGTGCTGTCCCTAAATGTCTAACTGACGCACAAGTTCCTGGTACCAGTGGTGCGGATCAACTGGAAGAGCTAGCGGTAACTGACCGCCACTGCCGCCTCCTCTATTTCTTGAGATCTACTTTCTTGTAGGCACGCAGGTTCCGCTTTAATCCGCGTCTAATAGTCCGTCTGGCAACATTGTGCTCATAGTTAGTCGGGAGGTTTCTTCTGGATTCCAACATATTCATCGACATCTTGGATATCTAGCGATTGGTGCGTGACGATTGATAGTGCTGAAAGCATAGGCTCCAGCGTCGTGCACGGCTGGTGAGATACTGTTTCACTGAAAAATTGATGTTGTTAGAGAGAGAGGAGGTGAACGTTCGGTATGCAGAGCACCCCGGTAGGCTTAAATGACCGAGAGCTGGGATAATTTCGCAGTCGGAAGTCGAGAGACGCTTGGTATGCCTCCCGATAAAGCTCATGGAAAATGAAAGCGTGCCAAATCATGATCATAGTCGACGCACGTAGTCCAGGATGAGGAACAATGTAGTATGTAACCACACCGCCTGTAATTTAGCGTATCGTGATATATTTGGGTACATCAGGTGGCTTATTATGGGGAGAAGTCAAGTGGCATTTCAGCGCAGATTGCGCCTAAAAGCGGTGTCACTAAGAAATAACCGGTGCTCGCGCATAGCTGCAACAGACACTCGCCGATGTTCATCCGTTCAAATTCAAGCCCATCTAACTGAGCTTCTGAAGAGTTCAGACGCTCTGCCTGCGCATTTCATAACCTTAGCAACAGCAACAATGCCTGAACTTTTAACGCAGCGAAGAGTGTGTTCGGTGCGTGGCAGATGTTATCATTTGTAGCATCAGAACTGCAGTTGGTAAAAGCATAAGTTTTAGTGTTACTTTGTGAATCAAATTTAGTTGATGTCGCCAAACGGGCTGCGTACGGTAATTCAATTAAATTACCACGTCAGCTTTCCAGCTAAGTCATGGCCACACTAAGGCAACCCTTGATAAGTTGCGCGACGGCACATACAGGATGTCATTGAAGTTTGTTCAAATAGTCATTGCTATACGTAGGCACCCAAACCAAGATGGAAGAACGATCAGGGTTCACAACCGAAGTATTTGGCCCAAAAGCCTGTCCGGAACAGTAAGGATGACAACGAATCGGTTGTATAGCAACAGATGCCATTCCATTTCTGTCGTGGTCCAACTGCTAAAGCAGCCAAAGGAAGAACAATAAGTGTTGCACGCAGTCCTGTCCTCAAGTCGACTAACAGGCATGACCGCAAACCGATGAACGCTCAAATCGTGTGCAAATGTCAACACCTATGGCCATTGAAACTGACGCCGCAGTCGCATTCCCAGGGACCGACGCGAGCTTGTCCGTTTCTCTATCATAGGTCACGGTCACATGACTAGCGGACAACACGTCCTTGTTGATCGGTTAAATGCGACCTTAGCCAGCGTCATATTCCATTTCATAGCGCCCCAAACAAGAAACTGCTTTCAGTTGGCTTTCAACCACTGACTAACTTGGTAATAATAGTACATTCCAGTGAGTCGAAGACGTACGCGAACTGTCGCCCAACATGGAGCCCAGTCTCACTGCGACCTTTCCAATCTTCCCATCGGTGTTCAACTTTAGTATGGATTTACTCACGGAATGTTCCCCTGTGGAATCGCACGATGCGATCATTAAATGTTGTCTAGTGGAAAATTTGATGGAATTGAGCAGATGATATCGTCTTGCGGTTCCTCAGTCGAGAGGCGGCCCAGCTAATCGTGGATAAACTACCGAGAGCGGCCCCGAAGGCAGGTGTGCGCTCCGCGCCTTCAAAGTGCAAAGTGGTGTTGCGGAACCACCAGCCACCAGATGCCCTCTTGACATCTGATGGCAAGGAACTGGATAGTCCATCATTAGCAGCGATGGACGTGCAATTTTGTGAAAGCAAGAACAGTAGTTTCAAGCTGCTACGTGTGGCGGCAGCATGGGGTTGCCAGGGGTCGGGAATGCCGCGTACACAAGGCAAAGACAACGGCCTCTGTCACCTATATGAGTGAAACTCGATGCTCCCGGTTGGAGGAGTTGAGCTGCCTCCGCGTAGCATTTCTGATGTCAGATGAAATCAACATGTCAGCAATAATTATGTACACAGATGAGCACCAGACGGCGATAGCCAGTTTAGTTGCTTTGGAACGTGCGACATACGCCTGTCCACTACTTACAGAGGAGGGATTTATTTCGTTTGGCGAGTGATAAATTGTCACCAATCTCAAAGAGAATGCCAGGGAAGATTTTCTGGTAAATAATTAGGCATAGCAAAAACAGGGAAACTGATTTCAAAACTTAATGGGATAGAACACCACGGCTTTCGGTGACAACTCAGACAGACTGTGGGTGCTGAGAGCAGCGATACGATGATCTTAGAAAAAAGGTGTGACGTGCGAATACTTAGGCCGAAATAAAGCAAATGGAAAAAGCTACGACCGTTTGAACATATCCCAATTGCGACAAGAATACGTATACTACTGTGAAGAAATGAAGACGACTGATGGTTCATAACAAGTATCTGGAAATAGCAAATTAAACCTAAAATGAGAAGTTAGTAACACATGGCACCAAGTAGTACTCAGAGTTCAGTTCGCCTAATTCTCCGTGCAGCAGCAATTGTGACGAAACGTACTACCGAAGGAATTCGATGGGGTATGAACACTGACATCGATCGGCGAATCTAACTGTCGGATGGCGACAAGAATCTAGGTTATTCGGGTCATCATCGGAAGACAAGTGGTGTTTTGTTGGTGCTGGCGATCAATAAGGCTATTCCGATCCCAAGCATAACGCAACATGTGAATTCAAAACAAGGGGTTAACTGGGTTATCAAGCTCGTATAGAGAATAAGGCAACCTAGACTGAAGCATATAGCAGACAGAAAATGAAAAACAAAGTTGTTGTTTGGCTGTGGGAAGAAGAGCACAATACTCACCTCCATTTTTTCCAGGTCGAAAATGTAGTCCAGCTGAAAACTGATCAATAATTTAGCCTTCTCCACGGAGTCGCGTGTACCGGATAGAATAAAACCACCATACTCTTCGTCTGCATGTGGTTGCGAAGTTGGTTGAGTTCCACCTGCCTGATTTAGAACAACATAAAGAAAGGGAGTGTAGGAATAGGAAAATACCAATTGTGGAAACATAAGCAGCGCTGTACTCAAACGGAACACATGATTCCGAAGGGTCGAAGAAGCTGTGCATTTACATAATGGATGGAACTGAGTTCCAGTGTGTGAGTGCACTAGTCTTGGCTTGTTTCGAGCAGATGTGTTATTGAATCAGCTCATCATTTACTGAACAGAAAGCGAGAGCACTAGGAGTAAAAGGAGGGAAAATAAAACCGGATATTGGGAGGGAGAAAAAGGTACATCATCTGTTATTTATACGAGCGATGATTTATCCCAGACGGCTGCACACGCACTGATATACTCACCAACCATAAGCTAGATATAACCAACGACTGTATGCATTAAAGAACAAGGAACTAGTAGAGAGTGAGTGATCTGGAGGATGATCCAACTATTATGGTCAATTCCATGGGGTTTACTGAACGGATTGAATCCAAGTGTATTAAATATTGTGTTGATCATTCAATCACCTGGCAAATCTAGATAAAAAGGTAACCAATACAAAGCGACCTCGATAGTAGTCAGCTGATTGGCGGTAGATACCTCAAACATTGAAAATAACAAAATAGAGAAGATCGGTGTGGGAGAAACAAACTAGAAATGTCTCGTTTTATATTTAGTCAAATTGTATTTTCCTTTGATTCCCATGTATTTTCGATAGCACTATGTCTACTTAGACTGTTGACTATAGACATATTTACTTTAGTGACCCAAATAACGTCGAATAGAGCAGCAAGTTCGGTCAGCAAAGATGGATGAAGGTTGTCGGGTCCGGTAGACTTGTTTATTTACAACACGGCAAGCTCATATTGTATCTCTTCCAAGGTTAGATGTGACGAGGGTGGACGACCGATCTACAGATTGCCAAAACGCTTGAAGCAGCTTAATAAAGTAGTTACCAGCTACATCTTCGGCCACTGATTATCTTTCACCCTCTGCCGTTCGCTTGGACACGTCTTCACGCATTGAAGTCGAATGTGAGATCAAACTGTTGAAATTGATTATCGCCGTGCGACTGGATAGAATCCCTCCAGCTCTCTTCGAATTCGAGAAAGCTGCTCTTGCGGATGATCTGCACAACTTACTAGTGAAGCTATGGGAGCAGGAAACTGTCCCAGCAAACTAGAGCCGCTCTATAATAGTCCCAATTTTCAAGGCGGGCTCAAGTTCGGAATGTGGTAATCATAGAGAAATCAGTTTGATCTCAATTACCCATGAGATACTCGCCTCTGTCGCTCTCCATAGATTTTCTGGCACAAGTGAAAACCAAATTCGCGAGGAGTAAGCCGGGTCTCATCTCAGTCATCCTCAAATCACGTCAATGGTTGGAGTACCGCCATATTTAGCGATGAGCCACCATGTTCTTCGATTCGATTGATCGGTGTGCCCTTTGGGACTGTTTACTTAGGAAAGTCGTGCCCGAAAAATATGTAAACATTATCAGAGCACTTTACACGCATAGTTCGGGCAGAGTGAGGTTATGTCAAACTGTCGCCAGTCTTTAGTATCTCCAGCGGTGTGAGACAAGGTTGCCCACAATCGTCTTTCCTTCTTAACTTTCTCATTGACGGTCATGGAAACCGCGTTCATTGGACACGAGATGCAAGACAAACGAATTCTCGACTTAAAAGTCAAGAATTTGTCGACCACATTGCCCATATAGTTTTCAGACGTACCAAGTAGCACAGAATAAATCAGCATTGGCTATCAGTTGTTTCGGGCAATGCTTTGCACCATCAAGTGCAAAGTGCTTCGCCAAGATTGGCAGAGACCCACTCCTGCAAATGGTCAGTCTGGGCACCACGTGCCAAGATGTGAGCGCTTGTGCTGGAAAAGTGATGTTAATATAAGAAATGTGTAGTCGGTACATAGTTGCAGGAATTGATCATCATTGTCTAATCGGCATGCATCGACCCGGAAGCGGCCGCTTAGATGTCAAGAGACCTAAAGACGATTCAACGAGGTACTCGTATTACCAGCAACAATCCGGATATTAGTAATTTCGACATGTGAAGATGTGAGATTACAGGATAAAAATCTTCTTTGAGACCATTTGGAATGCAGTCAGTGGAAACACAAACGGAGGCGATCAAAAGGCACTTAGTCGTTAGATGCTGCTTATTAACCCTAAAAGAGATTCCATGTCAAAACGCACACACGTGGCGGTTCAATGGATGACAGTCGAGTAGATTGCTTTCAAGAAGTTTGTCGATGGTGATACCGGCACCATAAATACCTCGAACTATTGACTCAGTATAGCCAAAGACGCTAAGTGTAGCCATTGTGGTCAAATTAAGAACCAGGGACTCGAAGATTCATTACAACGCTGTGATGTTGAATGCGTTTTGGAGACAGCATACATCAATACCAAAAGGGAATAATGAGAGTTTGTGTTGTCCGTTGGACGATATGACCTAGAGTGCGTACGTTAAGAGAACCAATATGAAATGATACTCTAAGTTTGAAGGACGAGCTACATGTATTGGTGGCAGCAGCTACAAGGCCAGTGGCAGTCATTTGCTCTCTCTCTCTCTCTCTCTCTCTCTCTCTCTCTCTCTCTCTCTCTATATATATATATATATATATATATATATATATATATATATATATATATATAGCCCAAGTGGACATGGGGGCGCCGAAAAACCATGGGAATCAAAGTAAAATTTGTTCGAAAATAAAAAGAATCGTTTCTTGTTTGTTTTTCACCTAGGGATTCTTTTTGTCATGTTCAATGTTTGATGCATTAGACAGGCGAATCAATACAATTCTGCACACAGCACTTCCGCTGATTCCGGTAGCAAACCATGTAAGCAAGCTTGTCAAGCCACCGGCAGTCCACATGCTTTGATCCGCACCAGGAATATGCACGAGCCCATAGGCGGTCAGACGTAATCCAGTGATTTCATGTGTTGTCGCCAGGTGGTAGGCTGACCGCAACGCGGCCGCTTCCAACACACTTCTTCACAAGCAAATAGGCACAGCGCAGCAAACGCACAGGCCCTATGTGTAGGATGTGACCGAGGCAACGCAATTGGTGCATCAAAACTAGCGCATTCAACAGGACGCGAAGTCAATGTTGCCACCATACATGAACGATCCTCCACAAACAAGCATTGTCGAAGGCAGAATAGCGGCGATTGTCCTTCGCTGCCATATAACAGCAGTGAACGAGCAGAGGAGCTGTAGATACGGTCCTTCATCGAGATGGAGACGTCCCAACAACGCCACAAATGCCTCAACTTGACGAATGCCTATCAGAGAGAAACTTCCTTGTTAATAATGCTGCCAGAAGAACACAGATTCCATGATAAATAAAACTATCTACCTGTTCAAATTATGCAAATTCAACAGTGAGCACTGGAGCAGGTGTGGTCCAATTCTGAAGCAGCACTCTACACTTCGAGTGGGCGAAACTAATGATAAACTTGGATGCTTCAATCGCCAAACGATTCAGAATGAGTTGCATACCCTGCGGATCGTCATTAAGTAATGCGATATCATCAGAATAGTCTAGGTCGGTCGCGCGTTCATCCGGTAGAAGCTCTAAGCCAATCTCTTGGAAACCCTCAAGAAATCTCGGCAGGACGTCATCGATTCCAAAGTTGAAGAGGAATAGCGCAGACTGGTCGCACCCCTCTATTGACAGCGAAGCGCAAGGAAAGCTTGTCGTAGACCCTCACACTGCTGGAGATATGAAGGCAGAGTGCGCGTAGAATGGCAGTAAACGTTTCTGGTACCTGGTTCTTTAGCAATTAACGTCGGAAAGCAAGTCGATCAACGGAGTCGAACGCAGCTCGTATGTCTAGGAATGGCCTGTGATAAATGTGGCGATGTTCGCGGAGCTAACGGAGCATGTAGAATTGGTCCCCGCATCCAATGCCAGTACAGAAACCATCTTGGTCATCATGGTAGTATGATTCCCGTAGTGGGGATAGTCTACGAAGCAGAATGGATGCCAATCGTCTGGAGGCAACCGAAATGAGACTAATCCCTCGATGACTGAGACAATGGACGGGGAAGAACTGCGAGGAAAAAACAAGGAGTATTAGTGATGAGATTGAGAAGGCATATCATACTCGCCGGGTGCCTATTCCGAGAAGTTTTGTTCGAGGTGACCTACCCCTAACTTTTGACTCAACAGTATGCTCCAGAAGGCAGTGGAGTACATTGAAATTCGTTTGGGGGACCCCATCCGGAACTTTTGGCTTAATAGCCTGAACCACACGGTAGTGGAGGAGCAAGTCCATTTCATGAGTATGACTAGAGATAATAAATGGAATATTCTGGAAACATGTACCATGCAACCCTTCACTTGTCTGTGGAAAGGCATATGATTTATTTTGAAGTAAACCGCAGTCATTCCCTGATCACTGGAACGAATTTCATGTACAGTTTCATCCCTGGCTGGAGTGTCTAAGAAGTAGCGGTAGGTTAACCCGAGAAGCGTAAACATGGGATGGAATCGCTAGCGGAGTGCATATTGTAAGGTAGCGGAAAACGAGGTGTAGCTGCAGTGACGTAGGTGGTTTGAGTTACAGAGTAAATGATTTGGAAATGACTGAGGTGGCGGTTGTAGATAAGTGAGGTCGGGTCAGACGGTCAAATATAGTCTGTAAGCCAGAGTGTTGTGGGTTCGGCTGTACTGACTCGCTCCGCCATACAACAATAAATAACAAAGAGAGGGATGATAAGGGAAAGCAAAAAAGTGGTGAAAAGTGATCGAATACGAGACGATATGTCGTTAACAAGCCGTATGTATGATGTGTGCTTAGGACACCAAGGTGTCAAGTAAAGATTCCCTCTATCTTTCTCTTATTTGTCACCACTTCGCAGGCCATAGTGGTTGTACAGCAGCAAGGCACCGGTTCGAGTGGTTGATGTACTACAGTTGAGCATGGTGGTGACTGAAATTCGCCAAACTGCACATGTCGCTCTCATCGTATCTAGAG